CCATGCTCGCCGTCCGCAGGCCCGCGCTTACGGTGGCCGGAGATCGTCCCGCGATCCCCGACGCCCGGTGTGTCCTTCGCGATGGCTGGGTTGCGAGGAGGCAGCGCTTCGCTGCCTCACGCGTCCCGCCTCCTCCTTAGCCAGCATGACTGCTTCGCAAAAGGAGGAGACGGCATCCCAGTCCCCCTCGCTCCGCATCATGGCCTGAACTAGGCCTGGACGCGAGAGGTCTCCATCGCCGATCACTTCCCTGAGGGCACGGCGGTGCTCAGCCCACGCAGGGCATTCCGCAACAGTGTGTTCCACCGTGTCCTCAGGGTGGTCCTCGCAGTGATGACACCCGGGCGTTTCCTCCCACAATGTTTTAGTGTAGGTGGATAATTCGCAAGATGTTTTATTAGGATTAACAGAAACCTTGACCGACCCGACCTTCTATACTAATACTTGGATAAGGAGGCGTTAACAAAATATTATTAAGCTATAAGCCGTGGAACAGACACCCCTAATACAAAATATACCACTCCAAAAACTTCGGTTCACAGTACTTCACTAACCAAAATTATGCAAATTATGTAAACTCATAAGGTACAGATTACTCGACCAAATTGGTTAATTATTTATTATCATGTTCTTTGTTAATTAGGTATTATGTTTTCGGCTTACTCACGTAATAATTTGACGAGGAACTCGACCAGTTTCAAGCCATGCTAGAGGCTCATATTCATGAGAGCAGCATTTCGCGACCCGCGACGCGGCGACTGTCGCGCTGCTACATTGAATCTAGTCGAGTTCCTCGTCAAATTATTACGTGAGTAAGCCGAAAACATAATAATTTATTTAGTATGTCTCACGAAAGTTACAATACAAATGTTCTTTGTTGTTAGGACAAGGTTTGTAGGTACTTGGTAGAGGTACGATAGATAAATTCACCGGGAACATCGAGAAATAGCACCCGGGCTGCACCCGGCTAAGGCTGCTATTTACAAATATAAATGTTGATATGTAGCAATAAGAGAATACTGAATTAGAAGTATTTACAAATAAAATTGTAAATATAAAACCTTAAAAGTAATCTGAGGCACACAAACAGCAGTCAACCACGAAATTCTAGATGCCATAAAAAGGTTAAAAAGATAAGGTATCCCCCGCATCATCAAATTTTCACGCAAGAACAGCAGTCGAATTTTTTTTAATAATTCCAAAAAATCCTACGACAATAAACAAGCGATTAACTGAAATAAAACAAGATAAAATTTCATCCGTACGTAACTCACCGTGTCCACTGCATCCAAACGCATACACAACACGTATTGATACGGATATGTTTCGATAAAAAACAATCGAGAATTGAGAAGCACGCGCTCGGCTGGTGCGACCGGTCGCGGGCACGGCGGCGCACCGACTGCTAACCTGAGCCTACTGACTTAGAAAGACTGTACAAATACTAGTCTACCAAAATTTCACTCCGCCCTGTTTTGTTTTTAATGTGAGAGTAATTCCTACTACATATCCTATCCCCCACTAGCATGGTTTAATACTTGCCCAGTATTAGCAAACTGGGTCTATCTAGGTATACAAATATAGAATTTGTTTGTGGAATGACAAGAAAGAATAAGAAACAATATGGATGTATGGAAAAGTCTCGGTTTCAGATAAGCAGAAGGGTGGTCGACTGAACAATATGCACGTACAAAGCTTCAGTTTTCACAGCTTCAAATTCGAAATGAACATGTAATCTTAGCAGAAGATTTACCAACACTTCCAATTAACAATAAAAATTTATGGATTTGTTACCATGAAATATCTTTTTAGACGGAAATATTTAAGTTGATTTCAGCGCCATTTATGATGTCCAATTTGTAATTTTAAAACTAAAACATCTCAAAATAACGATAAAACGCAATATTTATTTAAACTTAATAATATATACGCATACATAAATATATAAAAATAAATTTGCTATTTTCCTTACAACTCAGCAGGCATTGGTTCACCTTTCAGAGCCTTTAAAATATTATTAGCAGTGAGTTCACTCATTGTATTTCTTGTCTCAATAGCCGCACTGCCAATATGAGGTAGCACGACGCAGTTAGGAAGCTTTAGAAGTGGATTATCTAAAGGCAATGGTTCTGGAGTAGTCACATCAAGTCCTGCCGCTCTTATAGTGTTATTTTGCAGCGCTTCAATCAAAGCATCCTGATCAACAGTACCCCCTCTACTTGTATTCACAAATACAGCTGTCTTCTTCATCTTCTCAAAAGCTGCTTTATTGAACATTTCTTTCGTTTCAGGTACTAGAGCAGCACAGCAGATGATGAAGTCGCTTTGGGTTAGAAGTTCGTCAAAAGTGACTTTAATGGCGCCGGTTTCTTGAGCCTCAGGGCGTTCAGAGCGATTGAAATAGAGGATCTGCTTCGTGTTAAATGCTTTGACACGTCGTGCAACCGCTTGTCCTATGCGGCCGAAGCCCGCTATACCGACTGTAGAGCCTGCTAGGCCAGGACCGGTCATCCACGTCGGAGCCCACGACTTCCAACCACCACTACGCGCTTCATGCTGCGCCTCGGGGAGACGGCGTGATGTAGATAGAAGGAGCGCCATCTGAAAATTTTAGAGACAATTTTTATTAATACTACTGATTAACGCATTAAACGCCGTGGTTGTCACCAATGACCAACGTTAGCTGAGGATTTGCTTTCAATAGTTTTCTATTGGCAGTTAAAGCCATAATTCAGGAGATAATCAGAACAATTTAACTAAGCCCTTTAAGAAATACTAACATATAATATTACTAATTTAACAACTTGTGGTTTACGGGTGCTACTTATACCACAGTATTTATTTGTCTTTTAACTATTTTCTATTTATTTTTTATCTGCAGCTGGTTCATTAACCACAGGATTGTAAGCTAGGTTGCTGAGCGAGGACAATATTCTTGCTTGAACTCATGTCATCATAATAATTATGTTGGACTAATCAAATCCACATAATTGAAAGAAAAAAAAAGAAAGAAAGAAAAAACATTTATTTAGCACCAGACACGATGCAGCATAAATAAAAAATAAAAAAGACAATCAATCAATTTCTAATTGAACGATAATTATACCAATTTATACTAATTATATTTTAATATGGACCTTCTCTACCTGTCTGAATTGAAAAATAAATATTATCTTTATATACTTACAGTTAATTCAGCGGTTGCATCAGTAAGTACATCTGGAGTGTATCCAATACGGACACCTCTCTTCTTACACTCCGCCAAATCTATGTGGTCATGGCCCACGGAGATGGTTCCAATGACCTTTAGATCTGGTCCAGCAGCATCTAGAACTTCTCGGTCTATCCTATCAGTTAAAGAACAGAAGATACCGCTAACACCAGCAATGGCCTTTAACAGTTCTTCTCTTGGCATTGTTGATGGGTGCGATGACATTTTTACTTCACATCTGTAATTTTAATAATACACAAATTAGTTTAAATGAAATTATTAATACCTAAAGCTCAAGATGCTAACAGTATAACAAATACATACAAAAATACTAACAGTAAAGTATTAATCTGTTGCTAAATTAATTGGGTAATAAAATAGAATTTAGTATTAGATGATAGGTAATTATAGCCTTGAAATAGTAATTTAACAATATTTTTGTATTCAGCTACAATGAAAGAACAATCTGAAATATCATAGGACTCTAGAATTACTCTAGACTCTAATTTAGAGCACAAAAAAATATGAATACTCAAGAGCAAAAGCAACTAATCATAAGAATTTAAAAACAAGAAGTTAACTCTAATTTGTTATTTGGTCACATAACAATTTCCGGTATTACCATATGTCTCTAACAGGTTGACCATATCTAACTGTACATAACTGTGTGTTAAACATAACTACATTACAATAATGAATCTACTTACTCCTTCTTCAGCAGGTCTATGCCACCCTGTGGCATATCATTGCGCGTCACAAACACTTGGAATCTTTCGGAGCTCATCTTCCTTGCAGTAACGACACCGCGGACTAAAGACGGTGCTGACAAAACTACTCTTTTATAAATCATCAATACTCTATAGGTTATTTTCCAGTTGTTACCGGCTTCCTTGTTCGTGTTCGCGCCTCGCTAACGATCCAAGGCCGTTTGTTCACTTCTCTGGCAAGTATCTAGGCGGAGCTGCTTCAGTTTTTGTCAAACTTTCGCCCTTGAAAAGCGAAGGTTTGGCAAAGTATATTGTCATGTGAAGCACAGCCACCGTTGCTAATATGACCTTGCCTCTAGTTGAACTTATAAATGATGACACGGTCATATTATCAACTTACTACTACTATTATTACGTAAATGCTAAGCGAGTCTTCATAATAATGGAAATCCTAAATAAATGATAATAATTATCGGTTCATTGAATTTACGAACGAACACGTCATGACGTATATTAACGTTTGATTGACAATTGACATATCGAGTGTTGTAGACTAAAACTTGAATTAAAGTTATCGATATCGAAGCCATGATTATGATCGAGATAAACAACAAACTCAGTTGGTTCTTAATATTCGGTTACAGTTTCCAAGTTAAAAATATACATTTTTAAACATTTTATCATCAATATAAGAAGATTTATCAAAATATCGAGTGAATAATTTTCATTCTTCTTGTACTTGTATTATTTAAAATATCGATATATCATACCGGGGAGGTTTACGTTAAATATCGATAGCATCCCAAACCGTAACGCTGGCATCTCTATTTATGAACTTGTGCAAATGTCAATAATTTTACATGAAGATTCCGTTTAGAAATGTGAATCCCACAGAGTATACACATATCTGAAAAAAAAAGGTAGTGGGAACAATAAAATAAGACAACTGTGCAACTAATTTTTATTACCTTAACAAAATAACAATAATATACTTTACCTAATGCCCGAGCCTGGAATCGAACCTGAAGCCGCGTGATGACAGACATTTGCGCTTACAGAATTTGCAGTCAGTTTGACTATTTATGTTCAAATGAATGAACTTTACACATCAATGAAAGTCAATAAGTTGTATAAACATCAGCATTTAATCATTTCTTAACTATAAATTAAAAAATCTAACACACTAATCATTATGTTCGTGTTGAGCCTCTGATTCTCTCCAGTTATTTTGAACCATTTCCACAATCATAGTCCAGCACTTGGACTGCATGAAGTAATAAACAGAACAAACAATAATAAACAACCATGATAGGACTAGTAAATAATCAGTTTCGATTTCCACCACACTGGATACTGGACCTTGGAAGTCCTTAGACATAACTACTAGACTTTGTGCATGCTTTCCAGTTACAGCATTAAGAAATTTACTGAAAGACTGTATGTTATATTCTGTGCCATTGAATTTTCCATAGGGTCTGCCATTGTGAAACACTTTAAGTGTAGGCACCCCTACTATTCCATAAACAGTATTTGTGCCGCCATATTTTAAGGCATCCAGCGCTACCATCTTCACATCAGGGAATGCTCTTGCAAGGGCATTGAAATGTGGTGCTGCTTTAGCACTAAAGGGGCAAGCTCTTGCATAGAAGAATACAAGCAGACAGTCAGCTTCCATATCCCGACTTGTTATTTCCGGATTCACATGTAACAGTTTAATTAATTGTGAAGCATTGACAATTTCCACTGTTGGTTCCACTTCCTCATTGGTGTCATAGACTATTTCCTTACATTTTATGAGTTTCCGAGTTTCATTAACAGTGTTATTTGTGTTTTCTGCGGTAACATTAGCCAGAGTGACAGTGTTGTATAAGTTAGTTAGTGTTTTGTTGACGTCTGACACAACATTGGAGAGCAGTGACTCTGAGTCGTCTACATTAGGAACATCATTCACATCAATATCATCCTTTATCTCTGTTTCTGTATCTTCCTGGATATCAAATTGAGTTGTCACTGTCACAAAAGCTGAAAACAAATCAAATGAAATAAAATTATCAATACTGTTCATTGAAAATATGTAAATATTGACAGGAGAATACAGTCAATTAGCATTTTACACAGTAATTAATTATTAAAAACCTGTGATGCTTGCATACAATAGTAATTTGATTATACATTTTCAAGTTCATTGAGCTTTTAATTTTAATACTGATTTTTAATTAACGTCTGGTATAGAACTGGCTGAAATCTGAATACAGTCTCAAAGCAATCAATTATTATTACATACTATAATCCAATTATTACATACTTACTAACTTAAAAATGAATTCAAAACCTTGGTGTAACTTGAATTTCTATGTACTTTTTTAGACTTTTCAAAACCTCGAAGTTAAAAGAAAATACAATAAGAGATAGAAGAATGCCAAAAATAAGTCGATTTGTAATGAAATATTAATATGAGATAAGTTTCAGTCTGCAGTAATGCAAAAACATATTTTGAACTTCCTATAAATTATTTAAGAATACTCACCAAATGCGAAGAATAACACAAAACAAAAATTTCTGCTTATTCGTAGATACATGTTGGATGTAGTTGACCACTATGACTAATAGTATAATTCGAAATATCAGTGAAATACTTATTTAAATACGATTTAAAATTATAATATTTAATGTTTCTTTTCATGACATGACATTGTAAATAAATCAATCAGTTTGACGTTATAAGTTCCAATGACTGTCAATTCTATCTGCTATGCGAAATAGCAAAAAAAAAATCACAAGATAAAAAGAGATAGGTATATTTTTATGCTTAAAATTCCATATCGGTTATGTGGTGATCTGTAGTGCAGAAACGTGTCCAGTTGCCAGCAATAAAAATATTTAAAAAAATTATATTGGATTCGCGATGCTGTTAAAGTAGGCTGAGGTTGAGTGAGTAAAAATCTGGGCCTTCTAAAGTTTGTTAGTAGGCTTCATTCACATTCAAATACATTTAACTACTAGATAAGAATTATCTTATCTTGCTTGACAGTAATAAGTAAGTAATAAATAATTATAATGCTTGACAGTAGTTTAATACAGACCCCATACCAGAAAATGGGGCCAGCGTTATGTTACTGGAGAGGGCTATGTCCACTACTCTCAGTTATGATCAGGGGCTTCTAATATTGAAAGTTACAAATTATTGTTCTTTTTAATTTATTTATTTAAAAAAACACGTTGCCCCACATTAGGATTTTCTCCTGTGTCATGGGTGAGTTTACAAACATACAAGTTCACATACATAATGACATCCAGACCCGTAACAATAATTTGTGGATCACACAAAGTGTTCCGTGCGGCAATCGAACCCGCGACACGTTTCACGGCAGCCGGTTACCCAGCCACACCAACCGTCAAGTCTAATTGAAAGAAGATAGAAGAAATATAAGGGATATCTAACTTCTATAATGAAGTAACATAAAAAAACTCATTCTCATTTCATAGATAATGTTTATAATATTTTTATGGCAAGTTAATAATATAGCCTAAATTAAAAGACTGAGCAATTTCATTACTTGTGTTATTTTGCTCAAATAATCACACAGGAGTATTATAAAAACGTAATTTCTCATTTACAAACTCCATTGTAATAATACTTAAAATATTCTCTTTTATATGCATAAAAATAAATCAATTTTGAAATAGGGTAAGTACCTATACAAAAAAAAACAATCATACTTGAGATTCACACACAAAAAACTTATTGGTTGACTAGTTAAAAGTGTAAAATTAAAATTGATCACATTGGTATTTTTATCCCCAGTTGGTTTCCATATTAAGTTACATTATTCATCTTTGTATCACTTTATTCATTTTTGCATGAGTATGGCAAATTAGATCTGAAATAGAAACTTCCAATAGGAAAGCCGATTTCCATACTGCCAGCAGTTTAGTTCATAGAAAATCTATCTTGTCACTCTTGCCATGCTCCACATTTATTTATTCATACAAAGCTCTTTAGCAATACTTTTCAATGCTTCTGTCTGTTCCTTCATCAATGCTAATTTCTGCCTTAAATAATCCTTCTTAAAGTTTAAATAGTCCTCTTTGATTTGTATTTTTCGTTGTTCCTGTACTGCTAACATATCACAATTGAAAGCACAATTGTTTGTGTGTTTGGTATTTTGTTTTGTGTTATTTTTATGTTTTGTTTTTACTTCAGGAGGTTCAGTGAATACCTTTTCTTCGGGAACTGAGTCAGCATCACTGTATGAAGCAGTTGACTCATTAACATTGTCAAAGTTATCCTGGTTGTTGTGTTCCTCAAGTGGTACAAATTCAGGAGTCTGACTTGTAGAGGATACATTCTTTAGACCCAAAACTTCCTGTTCTGCTGGTGTTAGCATGACTACTGAATTTGGTAGTTCACCATTTGTGTCAGCTTGCCGTTTCTTTGTTTTTGATCGCAAATCTTGCCAAGTCTGTAATGTAAATAATATGTTTTATTGCTTACCATTTTAAATCAAATTAATATATATAATCTATTTTACGATATTACGATGTTTTAAACTTAACAAGTTATATAAAAAACAATACTTTTCTCCACTGCCTCCAAGACTTCCTCGCGCCGGGTATGGAGTTGCATTCATTAGCGATACTATGCCACAGTTGTTGGGAGTCACTGTAGTTGAAATCCTGTGTAACTCTGCATGATATCAACTCAGGATGTTTTGTCATTAATTCTATTAACTTTTTCTTCTGTTTAGCAGTTACATATACTCCTCTTTGCCTTTTATTTCTTTCCATTATTTGAAATGCTTTTCATCTAGATTTACGAGTAGCCTTAAATTCTTTATTAAACATTTTGTTAAATTAAGCTTGCTCAAAGACGTATAGATTAAAAAGTAGGGTTGGTCATTTCACTTTTATAAACTGACTGTAGTGTAGTACAATAAAGTGACGCTGATTAAAATTATTTTGCAATAATTATCAATATTGTACACAAAACAATGCAAATAAACCAGACATTGTTCTCAGCTGTCGATGTCAAATAGTGTGATTCTATCAAAGTGTGTCAATGTCAGCGATTGTCATTATTTAGCCGAAAAGTAATACTGGAACGTAACTGTATTTTTTACATTTTATTTATTTACTACTACATTCAAGAAATGATGATTTTTGTAAAACTTTCTTAAAATAATTTATGTACTTTAATAGGTACTTTATTGAAAGTATTTTTTTAAACCAGCAGAATTTTGTAATAGATTGGTAACATTTTAAAACGTCATGATATCGGTGTCGGCCATTTTGTTTTATATTTTTTGTCGATTGAACGAAGTCTGTCAGTCATTCATTAAATAAACGCCGAGTGTCGTGGTAGTAATTTACGCCGTAAAACAATTCGTGTGATCATTATTCCCAGGCGTATCTTTTGTTTGTAAAATTATGATATGACGAACAGTTGTGTCTGCTAAATCAAATTGTGAAATTAAGTGGGCAAAAATGGCTGGCGCTGGAGGGATTTTACGTCGATTTCTACTTGTCTTCTTGGATTGTCTGCTACTATTACAGCTAGCGCAATACGTAAGTGTCTAGAGATATTACATTTTCATTGTTCCGCGCTAATAAATCTAATAAGCATTGTAATACTAGAGGTTTTCTATGTATGGCGTTGCAATCTGACTTCTCAGGAGAGTTCGCACTATCTACGAATATTTATATTTCTATTGCAGCGTACGTATGCAAAATTTCACTTGGCTGACTGTATTGTACTGTCTCTAACTATGTAAATGATTATTTTCTCTTGATTATTGCTTCTACAGAACAACAGTACAGTTTTATATCAACTCAACAATAGGCAAAACCTACTTATATATTATCAAGTTAAACCTGTATGATGTACATTAGGATGTCACGAGCACTTCATTTATCTAAACATTATGCAAATATTTCACGTGCCAATTAACTTCATTGAAGTAGCAATTTTTTAATCACTGGGGATTGTCCTTGTACCAAAAAAAAGTTGTTAAAAACCTGAACATCAGACGAAAGTGATATAGGAATTATTGCAAAATGTTTAGGCATTGCTCAAAAACTGGTTGATAATTTTTAGAACAAAAAACAAGATTAATTATTGCAGTAGAATATTCATGTTTTAAATTAAATTTATAGAAACCTTTAATACTGTATTCAACAAGCTCATTAGCATGCAGGTTAATAAATAATATCCATAATAAACAAAAAAGTTGATAACAGGGTCTGATAAGAATCTGCATAAATGGCTGACTGATAAGTTTGTAATTCCTATTGTTTAACATTAGTCGACCATCAGGTGATCGCATCAACCAATAGGAAGTCAAATAATGAGTAGTTACAGGAAAATGTACATTTTGAACTAGCTAAATAAAGTAATAATAGTACCTAATACAGTTAATTACACTAAAAACAGTTGGATAGAAATAAATAATAAGTATAATACTATAATACTAAATATAGTTAATATATCATACATTCCATAATATATTTAACTACGATCAACTATTGATGAATTGTCGATACCTCTAAGGGCCGATTTGTCAATCATCAGTTAATTCTTAAATGTAGGATAAAATTAACAGTTGACAGTTTTTATAAAAGCATGAAAGAATTATCAAATAAGTATTCAAACTTATCCCTCTTCTAAAATTTAACTGGCATTGGAAAAATCAACCTTTAAAAGATAATGAACAGGACAGTCTGTCATTATTTGTGACGGCCATTTAACTTTCAAACATAACCAAATAACAGACAACAGCAATTAGATTGTAAAAAAGTGTATAGATATTTGGCTGATTAATTTTATTTGTTATTGTTTTTTGTCTTTTGACTGCCTCGTTGGCCGAGTGGTCGCAATTGCGACTGCCGGGTAAGGGGTCTCGGGTTCGATTCCCGGGTCGGGCAAAGTTTACTGGGTTTTTAAAAAATTCTCAGTAGTAGCACGGAGTCTGGAACTGTGCCCGGTATATGGCAATAGGCTCACCCCCTATTACATGGGACTCATAACATAAATAGTGAAAAGTGGGTGTTACATTGTACAGTGGTATAATGTGCACCTCTGCCTACCCCTTCGAGGATAAAAGGCGTGATGTTATGTATGTATGTATGTATTGTTTTTTGTTATGTCCCAGTCTGGGCGACTGTGTTATGATTTTGGCAAAAAGGTTATGGGAAACCCCAGTTGTGTTATCTTATGTGGAAAACTAATAATGTTATGATAAAGATATCGTAATTTTTCGGCCTTTGTCAATAACATCATTCATAGGTTTTACTGAAATATATTTTGACATCACTATCAAATATCTAGTTTTTAACAAGCTCATAATCTTGTCCTCTTGTAAGAACATTTGTCTATTACAATATTATTAATTTTCTTGTTCTTGTAAATTTTTAAAGTACTGTACTATGCTACAGTATCAATGTTATAATTTATAATTACTGTAGCATGATGATAATCATTCCAGAATGAATAGAAAAGGGGACATCAAACATGTCGAGTTGGTCATAAATTGACATGACACAAGCTGATATTATGTCAATCAGGAACTCAAATGGTCCAATTAAGATTAATTTATACCAATAACTGCGTGTGCTCTTCAATTGATACAGAATTAAGCTTAGTAAAGGCGTCTGCATTCTAAATAAATATATCGGAAGAATTTTATTGTCTACTGATGATAAAATGTTATATATAGTTCTTAGAAAATTATTTTGAGTTTTTCTAAGCACGGTCATTATACGTATTCAAGATCACATTGTGTTATCTACGTAATAATGTACCTATTTAATCAAATAATAAACATTGCTCTGTTGATAATTATTAACTGCGTATGTTTGAGGTAGCGCACTATTTTTGTTGTTATTCAATGGACCGTTATTCATCAATGTTATCACTTGGTATTTCTCGACAGGACAACTAAGTGTTATTCAAAATCTATTACCGGACCCGCATCTAACTGTCGATCTTTATTCTGCTAGTTAATAGAAGCGAAGTGTTAGTGAATAGGAACAGTCCTTTATTTTATGACCATTCGATTATTTTATTAGTATATAATCTAATCGTTACTCATCCAAACCCTAAAAATTGGAGTCTCGAAAACCCAATTCTCAAAAATTAATAGAACGGCTTGTTTTCTTCCGTATAGATAATTCCGAAATAGATAAACAAAAATTTACATTTAAAATATTTTAGCCTCTAAATGTTGTTAGGATGAAGATCCATGTGCGCACTACAGACTTGAGAGTCTATAATTATATTCACTAGCAACATTCTTTGTTTTTGTCAGCCTACACGCTTTGTAGTACCGGTTGTTTTGCAGTCCGCCGGCAACGTTTGACGACCACAAGGAATACTTCCAACAGATTAGAATAACATGACACGCTCAACCTTGACCTTAGCTAAACTTACGGAAGGGCGTCGGACACAATATGACAACGAACTAAAATAATCCTTGTCACAATCCAATTTACGTTTAAAACTCCTGCCATGAATGTTAAGGACAAACACATGGTAATTTCTACACCGAGGCTAGTCGTAGCTACACGTCAAAGTACATGTTGACTGTTTTATGAGGCTATTGCTATCATCTGCATTCACGTCCATGTTCACACTATAAAAATATGGTATGGACGACATTCAATTGAACTTCACGAGTCATCATAAAGTATTTAGCAGCCCTATATTTAATAAAACCGTATTATAACTAGTTTTCACAAGGTTAAAAGGCAATCATTAAAAGCCAATGGAATCTTAAATGACGTCATAATTCAAGCCTATTAGAGTTATTGGACCAGATATAAATTTCACAATAATAATGTGTCTTTACTAAACGTTACCGATCACACGGTCGGGTCAAAAAAGTATGTTAATTGAAATTTAATGAATAAGTTCGCCCTTCTAGAAAGTGTCCCTACAAGCGATGGTGTCGTTTCCATGTATGCCTGGTGCAGGAATGGATATGGTTGCGACTGCAAACGCGCCAAGGTTCATAGGCGTACTTCGACACGCGTGCGTGTAGTACATAATAACTAGTAACGTTTTCCTTATTACCCACCGCTTATTCAAGGCGGCTGTCCGCGAGAAAATAATGCTCTTAATTGAGGAATCCTTTCAAGTAAAAAAAAACGAAAATATGGTAAAAGAAAACCGCTCCTGTAAGGCTTGAATACCCTAAAAGTTACTTAAAACTTCGTATTCAAATTGCCTAGGTATATTCAATCTAATAAATTGTGTTAGGAATATTTATCCAAATCGCGACCGTGCAGCTTTTATAGAGAAATTGGCGACCGTTTAGCTGTCTGTACCGAATGTTCAGATAAACGGACTGAAAAGATCACCTTGCGGTATTGATTGAAATTTTCCATTCACACAGAAAACTGCTACATATTGATTAGCGCATCATTACAACTTCGCACTAGTAATTAATTCAATGGTATATTTAGTACCCCATGAAGGTTTGATAGATAAACATCCTTTGCAAGGAAGGTCACGATCATAACTCTATTCCTAAGGGGTTTGAATTGTATGCATCGACTCTGACGCCAACGGAAGTCCAAGTTTGTTTTAATTCAGTCGGAATTAATCATGCATAATTCGGGACACTCTGGACAAACCTTGACGGGTTTTGGAGGTCAAAACGAATGGGAAATCGATGTTTTTAGACGTCTCACTGTTTTTTGCCATACATAATAATATGTAAAAAATTCACCGCCATGTTTTTAAAAGCCACTATTTTACACAATGACAAATATATATACGAGAAATAAACGACAAAGGAAACCGAAGTTGTAATCTGTAGAAGACAAATATTCAACGCTGAATAATATTATTTTGTCTTGTTTCGCCACAAGTTATAAGTACAATTCCCAAACGCTACACGTACCTAATGGGTATCAAATTCAGAATGTGTAGTGTATATTTTAAAATTACGAATTCAAAATGACCGTCATAACGCACAGTGGAACCTAAAATCTGAATATCGATGTCATCTGACTGAAGGTCTCTGACGATGGCCTCACTGCAAAAAAACTTTGCAATGACTTTTTTTTGGTCATTTACGTTTGTTATTTATATCTCTGTATTAATTGTTACCTGAAATCTTTGTACATGTACCTAGATTTGTTTACGTTGCTTAAAGGACTAGGTAGGTATTAATTTAATTGTTCATCATTTATCCTAAAGATCAAAGCAGCACACATACTTATTTACCGGAAGGCGGACTAACGAACCTTCCTTATGTATACTAAACTGAATATTAAAATATAACCGTAGGAGGAAACATGTATTTTCTAAGGGGAAAATGTTTTTGAAACCAATATAAATATGTATGTACACATTTTAATCCCTTTTGACGCTTTTAACTAACTACGTCACGCGATTCGATAGTGACTCATTTGCAAAACAGGAAAGTCCTGATTCAAGTTTACCAGTCAATCAGAAACAACTTTAGCATAAAGGCAAAACAGCCCTTTTGAAAAAGTACCTTAAGTTACATTTAGCTTGATACACCGAGGAGCGTAGCGGGGACAGAAATAATTATAGCTCTGTCTGTCGTTCCCTCACATGTATTGATTAGGGACAGAGAAGGATGACCAATCCGAAAATACACTACAGGATCAAGGTTACATAATTATAGTACATCACTTTTCTCCTTTATTAGTCCCATGTAATGAGAGTGAGCTTATTATCTCTATAATTTAGTCGATTTGGGTTTTATTCTATCCCCAGAAGTAAAACAAAGTTTTCGAAATTCCAAATACGATAAACATGCTACAAAATATTAACATGCTCAGTTATCTCAGTTATGCTCAGTTAAATTTTATCAGAGGAATGACTTTGAATATTTGACAGTTCTTCCATAGGTACTAATAACTGTCAAAGAAATTCCAAATACGATAAACATGCTACAAAATATTAACATGCTCAGTTATCTCAGTTATGCTCAGTTAAATTTTATCAGAGGAATGACTTTGAATATTTGACAGTTCTTCCATAGGTACTAATAACTGTCAAATGTCAATTTCATTCTACAACTAAGAATTAACTGATGATTGAAAAATCGGCTCTTATAAAATAGATGAGTGTAGATAACAGGCAGCATCGGTAGGAAGTAAACTTTGCCGATTATCCGTATTTGAGTCAGACAATCCCACAGATTGTCACGGATGCTGACTCACGCTTGGATCACATCACTTCACACTTTGATTTACATAGTTACTTATTGAGTTGTTTCGCTTAATGACAGTTCAAAGGTTGTTGAGCTCATGAGTGTGGAACGAATCGGTTATACCTATTAACATTGCATTAATTGCATTCTTATGTTTCAAAATATTAACAATACTAACCTTTGTTTGCACATAATGTTTTCTAACATTGTGGGCTGAAGTACTGAAATTAATGTCGCCTATTATGCTGTTAATTAAGTAATAGATATTGATCGCCCAGAACAGCCCAGAAGCCATTATAAGCGCGAGACTTTAATGAGTCAACGACTCAAGCCACAAGCGAGGCGGAGGTTTAGGATCGATAAACCTCTGAGAGATGTGCCCTATCAGGCTTCGCTACAGGTGGAAGCTAAGCTTAACATCGATTCGCAGACATAGTAAAATAAGCAATTTTTAACTGAAGTTGATAAAAAACCTAATTCTTTTCAAAGGTAACAAACAGAACCAGTCTCACAAAATGACCCGTAATTTGCCAACTAGTTTTTGCTGATGGATGTAAACTGATCTTTGCTCAGTTACCTTGTTTCGCCTTGAATGTTCTTAGCGCATACATTAACCACATTAAAATCGTAATGTTTTATCGTTTAGCACTTAGCGAACTGCTAAATAGTAAGTTCATTACGTGTATACATATAATATCTATGTATTGTTTTGATGTTATCAATAACAACAACAGCCGTTGTTGGGGGATTGTAGTTGCTGAATATAGCGTGATTTCATTACACATAATATGATATGCAGACGTTTCAATGTAAGATTAAGTAGTACGAGGCATTATTATGTAGCTCCTTTGTGTAAACATAATGTGATTGTCTAAGTACATTTTACATTCAAAGGAGTTGTAACGTGAGTTGTGGGCGTCTACATTATACTAAAATTACAGAGCTGAGGCCTTTGAACCTTTCCCTGTAAAAAGTTTGAATCTTTCAATAATTTCAAAGGTGAAAGAACTAAATTTGAGAACACACAGTGTTCAGGGTAGTACCTAAGGGTCAAAGAACCAAATTTCTTTGAATTTTATCTGAATAGAGAACCAAATACCTCTTTGCTTTTGTTAACGACTAATTGAGAGGAGAGATCCCTGCCGTTCAATGATCGTCTATTTACTTTTCAAATTACAGCATAAACAAATTCCTTTTTGCTATCAGGGAAGATTTTGCATGAAGCGAAAACTATTATGAAAGAACCAAACATTTATACATTCGGGTCATATCGATTTAAGAATCTGATGTAATTTTATGATATTTATTGATTTCGGCCAATTTAATATAATATTGTTGTTGAATTGAGAAAATCCTACGTCAAAACGCATGTAAATAATTCAGTATGTTTTATTATACCGTTATATTGAGTTGGTAGAGGAAAAAACATGATATCAGGTCAAAATTTGTTAAACAATTGTAAAGTCACCTATGTGTTTAATATTAATGTCGGGATTTTGAATTCTAAGTCAATGGTCGCATGGTTGCGACCTAAAAATCTTAAAACCGTATGTTTAAATAATGCGGGCTGTTTTATTTTTTGAATTCATACAATCTGAATCATAAATTGATGTAAGAGACTGACGTCATTGATTTAATTATCACCGCTGTTTGTCGGGTTCGTCCTAAGGTACTCCCACTTTTTACTGACTTAAAAAAAGAGGAGGTTTTCATTTCGGGTTGTATGTTTTTTATGTAAAAAATGGGCAGTCAATAATAAACACAGATGATACTTAGCATTAATTTCAGATTATTCAATCTTGTCAACGCATTAGCAAAGATAGCTGGCTTGCCTGAGTCTGTAGTTAGAGTAGTTATTTAGTTGTTTTATGTTATCCGCTTTGCCTCTGACGTGGTATAGTGGAGTTTAGCACATTTCCTGGTCTCTACCATCTCCCATAATGTATTTATACCAAACCGCAAACAGTTATTTAAATCATGATAACAATTTTAATTAACAGTTTTTTCTGACTCACATCTAAATAGTTAAGAGTTATATCCAGTTGTGATAATACCAACCATATTAAAATTACCAAACACATTATTTTTGTTTTGTCCTCTATTCTCGTTTCTGAGTAACATTAATATTGTCAATATCATTGTAATTTCTAACGGACCAGCTCTTTACTATTCCTGTGTCCCACATGGCTGTCCTTTTGAATGATATTCTAACGTCACCGGCATCCGTTCTATTCGATTGAATTACAAATGTATCGGTGTTCAATATATCGACGTTTGCATGTCCAAGAAATGGACGTCATGTTGGCATATTATCGATTTTTTTACCTTTTTGGGTTTATGTCCAGACTTAAGTCAGTTTGCACTGTTGATATTACAGACAACTCAATTTGCAATGATTCCATAACTCCCAGGTTAATATTTTTTGCGATAGTGATTAATAAACTCTAGGATTCTCAGTTTCCAGTGTATGTTAGATCATAAACAATACTTTGGTTAGTTTATCGCGAACGCATGACGCGGTTCCAGAAGATCATTTACCAGTTTATTTATAGCGACGTGCTTCAAAGCTAAATTCCTTTGCGAAGGCTGGCAACATTACTATGTTATGGCAAACTTACCTTTAGTTGACCATTTCATTTGCAATTACGTACCCACATGAAAGTGATGAATACTTGCAATGGTTGTAAAACCTCTCATTTTTTATCTTGTCTGACATTGATGATCATGTCCCATACGGTGTCGACCACAAAATAGCTCTATCACGTTGGATTTGAATGCCACTTCCACGTAAATCGACAACACCTGTTTTTACTTGTCATGTTACTGTTATTTGGACTCATGTTGTATTATTGCAAACTACAGCAATCTATCTCTAATCTTGTATTAGAATCTACATGGCTCATGTTCCAAAAACATGGAAACTGTAGGCCGCGAATGCAATATTTTGTATGATTGTAATTCAGTTCGATCTGTACCAACATAATTTCATTTCGCTATGTAGAGTATTTATTTGTAAGCTTATCTCTTACTTATAATGTTAGTGAACTTTGTCCCTTAATAAAATTAATAACATATCAAAATAAATTATTATTGTAACAAGAATCGGATGATTCACTACGTGTGAAGTAAGCGGAGACAATAGAAAATAGTGCTGCAATTAGCATGTGTGTACTTGTGTAGTCCACGTGTCCAATAAGAGAGTATTAAGCACAGTTCGCATGTTTTCCAACCTTTTGCAGTAAATAATTGATTAGTTCAATACATTTCCGTTCATTCAATTTGCTTAGCACGCGATTTTTTGTTGGCACGCGTAAAGCTATCGCTACATAGAATACACACGCTCGGATCATAAGAGCATTGTTTCATAATGATTCATCGCCTGGGCCTGTTTCTTGTTTTGGAAATGTTATATTATTCAACAATTTGTAGGTGTATACCAAACTTCTTTCAATAGTTGTTGGCTACATAATTCTATTATAATCTTATTACAAGCACGTTCTTCTGGGACATGGTACGTGCGTCATTGGCGTGTCACCTGAGTTCAACGTGATTCAGGCAAATACTGGACGATAACTTGAAGCCTAGTTCTGTTGGCATCCTATTCCAGACCGCAATTACAACTTTTCCGTCATATTTGTTTGTTGGTGTCATGTTTAAAAACATCAACTTTGTATCACGTCACGTCATAAGCCGTGCGTATTAAAGCTATAAAAAGTTAATCGGTTCAGTTTTATAAAAACGGCTTGCGTAATTTTTAGGATTAAAAAAATAGCAACATTGAATATTTTACGAAACAATTTATTTATGATTTTATTAGCTTGTTACTAATTAGACAATGTTTTTGCTTCAGGTACCCACAGCCTCTGCAGAAGCCCACTGTATTTGGTATGGCGTTTGTTCAAGTGACCCAATCAGACCGACAAACTGCGCTTACAATGGAACAGCAAAACCCATCCCTAGTACAGCAATGGTAAGTACAATAATAACTTAAATGCAGCCTCACTAGATACGCTGATCACGTAATAGTCAGCAGAACAAATAGTTTACAAAGATCATTTACAATTTGCGGTTACGGAAGGAAAACATTGCTTGCTGAAACATTTACGTAAGCTCTGGTTGGCATACCTAATTAATACTTAATTTAATTATCTTCACGTCTAGACGCTTGATGTCCTATGCTGTCCTATTTTGCACATAATGGTATGTGGATATTGCTGTTCAATTTACGGTTCATATTAAAAACCTTTTACAACCCCAAGGGCACTGTGAGCGACACTTATCTGGGTCACCGGGTGAAGTTACTTTGTGCTCTCGGTGCTATATTTAGCAGGTGCATGCAATAATGACGTCACACAAGTCCTAGTTTTCACGCGGAACTTGACCTGTGTCCAACAATAGCTACGTTCAGTTAAATGAAAGCTGCATCGATTGCCTTTAGTAGGAGACAGTTTTAATTTAATGCGGCTGGCAGGCTAAAGTTTATCGTATTTACGTACTAATAATTTCCTTTATGATGTTATTCCTCTCTTTATACCACTCTTGTTTCATTGTTTACATAAACAGTCACAATAAGTATGAAACTAAAAATGTATAATTACACAAAATGTGGCATAAAGAGTCAACATTGACTCACCGCCAGTGACCATTTGCCACTGTGTGATAGTGTTATCCTTGCGACTTGTAAATACCAATTAGATGAAGCTAACAGGGTGAATCAGAGCAATATGGCGTGAGCAGAGAACAGAGTCTACTTACGTATGAATATTGACGTATTTTTAATGGCGTAGGGTAGTAGGAATTGTTATTAAATCCAGATATTAAACACTGGTTGCTATACATTTATCAAAGTTAAAGTTCACCTTGGTTATTGGTTAGGGTATCTATCTTGTGCTCGAATGGAAACAATTGGCGCTACTTTGTTGCTATCAATTAATTTCATAGCTACAAGTCACGAGTCGACTGGTAACGTATAGTTACGATGTATCCTTTGTTGTGTTTGATATTGGAAAGTCAGCCAGAATTAATGTTATATCTAAGTGGATAATAAAATAGTTCGAGACCCACTTTCATGGAGTTCTTCCCAAGGGGATAATGAATTACGTTAAAATAATCGATGTCGTAGTAGACTAGACTGCGTGCCGGCGTTGTGCGATTTGTTCTGGAACAAATATTTGTGTTACCTATATACCAACATCATAATGTTGTCTGTTTGTCTACGAGACATAATGTGTTCTGTAAACACTTTCCACGCTGAAAGTTTAACGTACGTTGACATTCTTTGAGAAAAGTTAGTAGATAGTTATTTTTCGTCACCACACACGTCCAACACTTCAGATTATCAAATAAAAGCTTATAATCTTAATAATGTATTATGAAATACAAATAAGTGTCCCAATGCAGATATCATTAATTTAAACAAGATACCAAATGCAGTCGATTCTTTTAAGAATTCCGAAAAATACTATTGAACTACTTAGTGGTGATATTGTAATTTGTGAATTATTAATGCTACTAATGATGTTCTATTTAATATAATACCACCAACCGGGTTTCAATTACGTAATAGTTGTGTTACATAACACAATTTCCGTGTCCAAAATTCTATTATTGGCTAATTTCATGAAGCGATTTCAATGGTGCTAGAAGCAAATACAAATATTTACTCCATGATACTGGTGCATTTTTAACACAGGAACAAAATACCTAGTATAAGAAACATCGCAATTTATTTCGAGTTCCATTTTCTGTGTAAAAGCTCGTAAATAATCAGCTAAAGAAAATTGCTTTGCCATCGACATCCAAGTCTAGACAGGCAGACATTAAAAAGGCTACAAAACTTAAAGTTCTTAAGGAATGCAGTCTTACCACAAAGCTATACCTTATAACAACTCGAGTTCCGTGAAATTGTCAATGATAAGTAGAATCCTACGTCCAGGTGAGCCTTTCTAGTGATAAGATAATATTTTATGCTTTTAGGATGTCGATATGACTTATAATAATGCAAGTACAGGTAGTTTGAACCAATGACGTCATCTCCTGCACATCGAACGATTTGTACTTTAAAAAGAAGATGTCAACAGTGCCGACTCATGCAGCGTATCTTGCTTGAAGGACAAAGACTTCCAAAATACATATTATTACATAGATAATGAACGTGTTTTTTTATCTTGGGAATTTAGCATAACAAAGAAACCAGTCATTAATTATGTCTCTTAGATTTAATTATCAAATATTTTACGAAGATACGAATCACAAATACAGGATGGCAATTAATAAGAGACAGGTCACAGGAAACAGATCTATCGTATATTTTACTTAATAGTATGCTAATATGAAGCAAAGTGACAATTTTAATTGAAGGCTGTATTTGAGGACATGTGATTTATTGGCTACATTATTTCTGCAAAGCCATTCAGTCGTTGACGTGGTTGAGGTTATTAAACTATGACAGTTCAACACAGCTTGTATGCAGAGATTAATCAGTGTGGAAAACGTCACAAGTGCTCACTGACACTAGTTGAAGCGAATGTTATGAATGCTTCTTTGAAGATGTTTCATGAGTTATGTCGAGTTAAAAATAGGAGAGCGTTTCCTACGCATTGCAGGTTACAGAGGTCGATTTTTACTCAGCGTCATTTCTAGACTTTTCTAGATATTTAATATTTACTTTGAGCGTGTAGTTAAACTAGATCTTTGGTTGGGTTAAATAAAATGACACAATATCTGTCCTAAAATGTCATACAAATGATTAAGCTAATGTTTAATTTAACCACGTCAAATAACATGAGTCAAAAACACGGAAATGGAAACAAAAAAAAAACTTAAAACCTGTTGTAGAACTAGCTATCGCTGTGTGTGACTCTTAGTTTCGAAATGATGCCAAATTGGCGAGTGAATTCACTGCTGCATCGTAACATAGGTACAAGCGTACTCATATTTTTGTTAGAGATACACTATCGTTCACACAGACAAACACTGTGTTATGATTGGCTCACTCTCACCTCACACTAATTCAATAGAAACGAATGTGGAAGAAAATTGACAGATGCTATATAGTTTTGTTTTGAATTCGTACTCCGAAGTCTGGGCTGCTTGCCAAACTACTGAAATCGAGTGTAATGACGTAAACTTCAAAGAAACAAGTTCTTTAAGATTGTATGAACAAGAAAACCATGATGGTATTATATTATCAGAGGTGTGATAATGATATTTTTCATTCACTCGTGCGACATGACGTCAGACTCTTAATGTTGGTCATAATTCAAGTATCAAGAGTCGTGAAGAACTTCCGAGTATCTAAATGTGTTTAAACCACATTAGTATTTTACTTCCTATACTATCAAACATGGGCAATTTAAATATTAACGTTCAGTTTTTTACCGTTTTGGTGATGTAATCATAAATTGCTTTTACTAATGTTGTAGTAAAAAAGTTAACCTTGCGAGAAAGTTTGGCACTTTCACGGCAGTCGAAATGTCATAATAACACTGCACCTTTCTTAAAATGGTGCACTTTAATCTTTGTCGGCAATATGTGAAGATCTCGTGCACGTTGCTTGGTAACACGACCCTAATGAGAAACAATTGGCGGCAAATGATCAGTGCCGTACTTGATTGGAGAATCAAGTAGATAATTGAAACGCTTGCTACTACGTAGAAACTGTACAAATCGTCAAAGAGAACGATAATAAATGCGCAATTAGAGTTTATTTACAGAGTTTACCAAATATTTGTGAACAAGGTCTAACCGCGGAGTTGAATTTAGCTTCAGTATAAAACATCACACGGGTTGCCGGCTGCCTAGCTAACTAAGTTTATAAACGCTAAACCAATTTATGTGCACCACACCATTTCATAGTTCACACAATATTGCAATACTGTCAATTATTTTTTTCTCTTCAAACCAGAATGGCAGACTGCGTCTTTTTTTCATCTATTTTTTTGTTTACTCTTGTCATCTTACAGTCTGATTATGTTCTAATGCTGATATTACATTCCACTATAAAATCTTTTAGGGTCCTCCGGTATCGTGGAGCTGAAACTTTATATTCGACCTTCAGACAACCTTATCTCCTTTGGTGATATCGATCGTTGTTCACTAACAATTTGTATTCCGCAGAGGGTTGCAATGTTTTACGGCAAAAGTAACTGGATCAGTGTGACTTGAAGCCTAGTTTTGTTGCGAACAATTCTAGATTATCTTTGGATTTATCTGAGCACAGATTGTGTTGGACTGCCCTACTTATACTTGTTACTAGTGAATGTCCAAGTTGCATTTCGGCTGTCTTTTCAACTATATATGATTGTGTATCGGAACGTTTGTTCCGACTCGACTGTACTACAGTCAGTTTGCCTATCTTTACATCCGTATTTAACACATTCCATCTCGGTTCGCAAATAGTTGCCGGCTAATTCCCCAAGGCAGTTTAGCAACACGTTGAATAGCTTTTCCTGTTTTCTCAAGGAATTCTTCTTTATAGATTTTTTATGGTTTCAATTTTTTACCTCAAGGTTTTCATAAGTTCCAAGTATGAAGTTCATGCTGTACTCTGTGGCCAAAAAAATGTGTTGATACTATTTTAGCGTTAGACATAAAATAACCATTTTTATTATAATGACAATAATAATATGTTTTACGTATCTTTATTGCTACACGATATTTTATGGTTTGGCGTACAGCACAAAGCAAGCTCAAAGGTTTTAGTAAATTATGCGATCAGTTTCGCGATACCGTTGAATTACTTGTAATTAAGTTTAATGGCGTTTGCGTCCATATCCACATAATCTTCATTATAATCATCTGTTCTGTCATTTCCCCTTTACCCAAACGTTATTATAAGTAAATCTATGTTTTTTGAATTGATTGTTTTATAAATGGTGCTTCCTTTTCAACAACAACATCATGTATATTCCGGAACAAGCAAAAAATCTGTTTAGTAGGTGTATTTAATGACTACCAATAATAGATGAC